TCTCTCTCTCTCTCTCTCTCGCTCTCTCTCTCTCGCTCGCTCTCTCTCACACACACACACACACTCACACACACATACTCACACACACAAACACACACACACTCACACACACTCACACACAGCATAAAGGTCTCCTAACCTCTGCGCTGTTTGCTGGGTTGTTGTATCCTTTTTTTGACAATTGACTTATCAAAATACAACTACATGAATGTATTAAGACTGATGGTTTTGTTTACCTTGATGAAAGCCAGCGATATCACTCAGTATGTAGGATAAAACTTAAGGCTTCGTGTACGCGCGCCCATGTGGGGGGGTGTGTGTGTGTGTGTGTGTGTGTGTGTGTGTGTATGTGTGTGAAGAATCTTTACTTTATTACATTTTATTTTTCTGGGTGTTTTTCTCGTTGACCACATACACCTTGTGCACTGCATCTCTCTACAGAAAATGCTGTCTCACAAAATCAAAGAACTTCATCGGTTAGAGGAGGAAGAAAGAAGGATAAATAAAGGTAAGTCATTGGTGGCATCGTCTTTACCCTCATTGAAAATAAAAAGAGGTGTAAAATAGGATAGTCTTGGAAAAAGTTTGGTCAGCATAATGTAAACAATACAAATAAAAAGAAATGTGATTCTGAAATAACTCGAAGGATCGTCTGAAAGGCTTCCTGAGAAGCAAGTGATATGAAAGCTTAGGGGAACGTTATACATATATAGGTCTACAAATGAAAGGGTTTCACAAAGGAGGTCTAAAATCTACCAGAAAATCCAGTCCATGGCCCAGTGTCAGCCACATCAAAAGATTATTAATCCAATACTATCCCCATAAAAAAGTAAAGTTGTTCCCGCATCCGATCCGGACATTGGGGATTGCCTTGTTAGTGAGACAACTTCCTGGGCCTTCGGCATATTGTGGTAGGGTGGCCAGTTCCTTTCCGCACTGCCTTTACTTCCCCAACTCGAAGTCAGGTACCCATTATGATTATTGCTGGGTGGGCAAGAAGGGGCGGAAAAAATCTGTGTCCGAACCAAGGCTCGAACGCGGACTTTCCGCTTTGGAGACAAGCGCACCATCCCTATGACATCAAAAAATCTCCCTGTCACTGCATATAAGGACTTCTGCCGCCTAAGGGGCAAGGGCAATTCCTCTTAGCTGACAGGTTGATTGGTGATAAATTGCTTTAGCATTTGGGGAAAAAAACATAAACGTTAATTTGACCCAAGGGGCCCACTCCCACCTCCCTAAAAACGATTTTAAAGTTTCTGTAGTGTGTGATGTCACAGCAAGCCATAATTCCCCCCCACTGAGAGTGGAGAGTCTGGGTGTGCACAGTAGGTTAATCAAGTTCCGAATGGAGAGTGAAAGTTTACTTTTGCTGTCCAAAAGATGGGACTGATTGAGGCGACTTTTGACAGTTGGGAGAAGGAGGGGGAGAGAGAGGGAGAGAGTAAAATTTATTCTTGTTAGAAGACTGTGCTAAATTTTAAAAAACAACTTTTATACATAATTGCGGGCACATACACACACACACACCCACACACACCCACACACACACACACACTCACCACAAAAACACACATATTGTAGGCGGATTTTAAGGGGCAAGACTTAAACTCCTGCTTGTAAACTTCCCTGATAATTCTGTAATCAAATTTGATTGCACCAGCGACACCCAAAAGAAGATGCCAAGATTTGTTTTTGGTGTATTTGGGGTGCAAGTGAGAACAAGTGACTTCAGGCTCCTGGGTAATCTTTTACAATGCAACATTGTCACGATGCTTTCAAACAGAGAAAGTCGCAAAAGGACCAATGAAGAGGCCAGCTTTTTTAAGACAATCGGATATTTTGACCTCACTAGAGGAACAATTGTGATTGAACCAATTGAAAAACAATTTAGCCCAGATTTTGTGTTGATCATAGATGTTTTGTGGTTTAGGTGGCTTTTTTGTGATGGATGTTTACAAACAGTTGTTTTTATGTGGTTTGCAGAAAAGCAGGTATTTGCTTTCGAGTTTGCTCTCTCTGTTCAACTCGGATGAATGAAAGTTTTTGCAGTGTTTCCTATGTAGATGGTTTTCTGTGAATTCATCTTTTCTTGCTTTAAACTCTTGTTCTCCTTCGGGACCAGATAGAGCGGAGTCTGAGCACACCTTTGTATTGCAGACTGCTGAGTGAAGCACATTCATGCTTTGGATGGTTGGTGGGGGGGGGGGGGGGGAGATGGCGTCTGGAGTCAATTGGCTTTAGGTAGAAGTCTGTCTCCGTGATATTAATTAGAAGGCTAATGGAAAGGTTGGGAAAAGAGTGGTTTTCCTGGGTTTGAATATATATGAATCTGTCTACAATTAATCTGTTCACCCGGTGCTTAAGTCTCAGTTCACTTCATGGCGTCTGTCTTTCAAACCTTTACTAATAAGCAAATACATGTATATATATTATATATATCTTTTCGACTTTACAGGCATCCCTCTGTCCCGTACGGAAATTCTGAGAAGATCAACTTGTAGCTCAACGTCCAGTGAGTGGGACATTTACAGTGAGCTCACTTCCCCTGCTGCCATCGACAACGTGCCCGCCAATCAGTTTGTGTTCAAAGAGAACCTCCACCTCTCTGTGAGTGATGTATCATCGGGAAGCCCACCACCAGTAGTAAAGAATACAGCTTTCACGTCGGGCGAGATGCAGGATTCCAACGGTGTTCCAGAAACTGGACCCATTCCTTCCCCTGCTGTTCTACAACTAAAAGAAGAAAATGGAGACCCGCAAGATTTTGTGCTTTCAGAGAACAGTGAGAACTCGCAGAGCTCTGAAACAGGTTACAGAGAACTCTACAATATTACTCGATGTGCTCAGTGCATCAATGATGTGTCTCGCTGTACCCATAAACGTGAAAGTATCTCCGTCAACATGGATGAAAAAGTGGATTCCGCTGACAGTTTGACTAATCTTGTCAAAAAATCAGGAAAAGAGTTGAAAAAAGTGGGACTGTCAGACAAGTACTTAAAGTCTTCTCCAATCGGGGAAAAATCGGATGAGCGATTTCCGAAGAGGATGAATGCTTTTTACATCGAGTCTGATAGTGAGGAGTCTCAAATCAGTGCTAGTGACCTTGACCGAAGTCGGCCAGGACAAATGAGCTTCAGCAGCGGCACCAGCATCAGTGCAGCCAGCAGTATCAGTGGCATCAGTGTGCGCAGCAGTGGCAGCTCTGCAACCAGTAGCAGCGTGGATAGTTCTACACTGTTTGGTGGTTCGAAGGTGGGCCGTGCAGGGACCTTGATTGACACAGACAGCAACTCTGAGCACAGACACAAAGAAAACAACAGTGATGAAAAAAGTTATAGTCTCATTGTGTATCCTAATTCTGGTGACAGTGGACTTGTTGATGGCGAGGACAAACATGTCAATGGTGATGGGTGGCATGAACTTTGTAGTGAAAATAAAAGTGATATTGCTCAAGATAGAAGTGGCTCTCAGACTTTAAATAGTGCGTCTAGGGGAGGACCTCAAAGTAATATTTCAGATTCTGAATGTGTTCCAAAAGCAGAAGATTCAGACATTCGAACAGTTCAGCATGAACAGTTAGCCAGCCTTAGTCAGTCTCATGAGAAACATAGTGCCGATGAAAATGAGATCAGCCAGTCTGCAGCAACTTCTAATAAAACAGTAACAATTCTATTGGAAAGGGAGAAAGTGACAGAGACTGCTGGACTTAGTTTGAATGAAGAGAAAATTATAGTGACACAGGATAAGAAGATCATCTCCGACCCGTGTGAAAAAGATACAGAAAGTGGACAGTGCGAGGAGCAGATAGAAAAGGGGTCTGTAGTTTGCCCTGATGAGGGACAGCTCTGTCCCCAAACAGAGGATGATTACACAGACAAAAACCAGGGCATTGAACACATTGAGAAAGATTCACAAGGACAAGTTTCCTCAAAATCCACTAGTTCAAGAAGACGCTTCATGTATGGTATACTGGTTAATGATGAGGATCAATCAACAAGTCTTTGAATAAAAGTGAATCCCAAACTCAAAAACATTATAGTCCACTTAGGAAGCAAGCATGCTGCTGCTTGAGTATAGCCTGTGGTCTTCTTTCTTTCTAACTCGCAGAGTATAGAAGTATTTCTAAGTCCCGTAGCATAATGTGATGTATACAGATCCTTCTGTGGTGACCCAAAAGTGGATTATGATATTGCGATACTGTTCTGAAGCCAAAATGTGCTTTGGGAAGAACTGAAGTTGCCTAAATGTTCATTCTGCGATGTTGCATTTTTTGTGAAGCTCATGGGAGTCTCGCCCAGTGGCTGGATTTGTAATGTGGGTTTAGGTTAGTTATACTACCCCAAAACCTGCATCTTGATTTGTAAATGTGAGACATGGTCACTGAAGGTTTTGTGTTTTGATTTGAAATAGTAGTCAACCTCATCGTGTGATGGCATTTCAAACTGCTGTGGTGAAGATTATTAATAACAGACTGAGCCTGAATTGTTATGATCTATATGATTGGGGATTCCTGTTCGCTTTCATCCATACAGCTTTGAATCTATATATGTATACTGATCAGCGGATGCTCACATTTAAAAAAAAGTAAAATAGGAAACCAATGGCTCTATTCTTAGGTATTTATTATAATACATAATGGTCAAAACCGACAATTTTATAAATTCGTAATTCATTTCGAAATCATGAATATCTGACTCAATCATTTACTTTAAAATATTGAATGCTACCTTTGATTAAATTTTGAGGTTTGAAGAGTATATTATGATTACTTCTAAAAGATGAGGCAAAGGTTGTGCCACCAGGATTATATTGTTGTGGAATCCGTCTGGGCAGCGTCTCTCAAATTACTATGAATAAATACATTTCCTCTGTCTTTGTTTCACATAATTGATGCTGTGGCCATTCTCAATATCAAACTATATTTTAGAACAATTTGTTTTTTTCTGTGCAAAGCTCAACAATATTTCACTTGAGCATAAAATCATTTGTGTCCTTTTATCTGTGATATAGTCACTGGAACAAGCTCCAATTCTCACTTGGAGGGCACCAAAGATAGGTCCTACTACTTTTTCCCTTTGTTGTTCCTATCTCAGTATCTGTCTGTCTTGCTTTTTCAATGCTCTAGACAGCCATTATATGTGTTGATGTGCTTCTCTTAACTCATGGAAGTTCCCGCTTGTAGTATGTAATGCTACATATGGTATGCTATTTGTCATAACACTCATTTCACTGTGCTATCTGTTATGTATGTTTTATTGTAACTTGTTTCAAAATCGTTCATTTCAATGTACAGGGCGTGCTGTTTGTGTTGAATTTTGTTCTACAAGGGCTGTCCGAAAAGTGAAGTGAAATGGTCTGTGAATAAATATTTTAAATATCTTCAGCAAACTTCCACATTATGCGATTACCTCAATCAGCTACTACTTCTCAAAGAAGTTATGAAGATGATTTATATCCCCCCCCCCCCCCCTATCCCAATGCCCCGTGACTTATCTCTAAATATTTTTTACTCTTGGGGAAATGCTGGCTAAGAGAATGCAGTCAACCTTAGACATCTGCTGCGGGATAAAATTGTCTTCTCTTAACCTCTTTCCTGCTAAATATTAGTTTAAGGAGCCGTGAGTTTGAAGCAATTCAGATTTTCTTCATCCATAATTTGGCCTAGGCCTGACCTATATGAAACAAGTAGCGCCTCTTGCTTTTTACTCATTACATAGTCACAACACACAGCAAAGAGTTTACAGTCTCTGGGGGATTTCTGCTTTTTTTTATTGAAAAATCATACGACGCCTCTTCTTTTATTTTGGCCTTTTCTTTTTGAGGATCACCATGAAGTGACATCATCATGTATGTTCTGTAGTGGAACTGATGGGCGAGTGGTGTGCTTTGTCTTCAGCGTTCTTTTAACGGATATACGTAGCAAAATTAATATAGGGTGTCTAAATAAAGAGGACCCACTTAAAGGATAATAACACAGTCATCTTTACACTAATGTCAGCAAAAATTCGAACAAGTAAAATTCTACCCTGAGGACATCAAGTTTCTACATATATGAAGCAAGTCAATCGATATGTTAGAGAAATATGAAGTTTAAAAAAACACAAAATATTACTACTATGGTATTTGAAATAGAACAATACGGATGGTTTTTAAGAAGTTGCAAAATTTTGCGTTTCACTCAATTTTGGTTGACATTTTAAAATGTTTTGTAGTTTTCGTACAAATGGATTTTTTTTTCACATTTATAAATGTGTAACGTTTCCATCGTTGAGTTTTATTTCTGCGAAGTTTTATGCACTTTGGTTTAAAGATAGACGAGTTATTGCAATTTAAGTGGGTCCTGTTTTTATAGAGACACCTGTTACATGTACATGTATTTACTTTTTTTTTTATCTGTGACCATTTCCACTTTAATTTTCGTGCAGCCCTCATTAAAGCATTCTCTCCAATATGTAATGTGTGATGTATGTGTTGTAATTGGGGCTCAATGATATTGACATAATGCCTCTCGTGTTAAGTTACATCAAATGAAGGCAAGCAGAGGAAGGACGCTTTTTAAAAAACCTTTTGATTTAACCTCTGTCATTTTGTCAATTTTTTACTTTCTTTCCAAGGAACTCGAAGATTAAGTCCAGTAATCATCTTGATAAATTATTAAAGTTCATCAGGTAACATCAGCTGTCCATTTATGTGTTTGATCCCCAGTTCAAGCTCTTATTGTCTCCAGAAGTGCACAAAGAGTGACTGAGGGTACTTTATAACGCACGTACATGTATTCTTTTTCCAGAAGTTAGCTTCTTATACAAGTTGTTTTTATTCCATGAAAAGCGCAGTTAATTCTAAATTTTTCTTATGTTTTGATCATTCTTCGTCTCTCCTGTCCTTGTTATTTCTTCATCTGTCACTGTCATTTGGTATCATTTCAATTTCTCTGAACAGTAATCATGGTACTAAACTTTTCATTTAGCAAACATCTTGATTTTTAAGCTTGTTTACTAGTACTACTCTTTAATTCTCAAGTTGTGCGTGTACCATAATATTCTCTAAAATTGATGTTTTGTAACATTATTGAAAAAGTGTGAGAAAAGTTTAAGTAGGTACATGATCATGAAAACTGCAGGGTCTGTTTGTCTATTTGTGTTCGCAAAAAGATGCAAAGTTCATGGAGGGACTGTTTGTGGAAACTGCTCGCTGCGTCTATCATATCCTCCCTGTTGATATTTCTTTGTGATAAAAAAAAGTTATTGTAAATTGTTATAATACTCATCAGTCAATGATCAATGCGAATGATTGTTATAGCTGCTTTTGAGTACACTTTATAGTTGGATATGTAAGTTTAAGGTTTTGTTTTTGCTATTTTTAGTTGTGTGCTATCTTTTTTTAAAGTTTCGTATAGGCCTACATGAACAGGCATGTACGTAAATGGGACTATCATTGGGATAAGAAAAAAAAGATTTTATTTCCAGCACTAATCAGCATAAACTTTTGAAGCTGAGAGGAGATGAGGAAATAAAGTTAATGGATGGCATGATAGCATTATCATTATTTGATGCAACTTGTATAAAATGAAGTCACTTGCTTGATTTCTCATCGTACATTTTAAAATTATTCACTACCATTTTGGGATATTCAATCATATGTTTACACTTACAAGATGTGATTTTGTGTAATGATCACAGAAGGTTCATCAAACAACTACGGTGCCAAACTCAAATGGGCAAACCATGAGAGTATGTGGGTTTATTACATAATGTATAATTATGATACAGACATGAATTAAAGAGATAAAATGTCTTTCCAGCAACTGACCCAGCATACTGCTGCAGGGTTTTGATCTGGTTTGGAGGGACTAGACCAAGGAAACTGCATAAGTGCTGGCTTACCCTGCGAAAGCTTTGAGTGAGTTTGCATATATCATTTTATATTCATAGCAGGCACTATAAGCACTACGCATGTTTAAAAGCTGACGTACTTGCCTGTTATTAAACAAAACACACACACACACACACACACACACACACACACACACACACACTCACACACACACACACACTAATTATGGAACTTGGCATCTCCGGGTCTCTGGGAAGCGCTTCTTATATATGTTATTTGTTAATACAGCTTGTTTATTTTTATGTGGAAAAAAAAAAACTAACCCTAAAATGATACGGCGTCGTAATCAACCAGTTTTTGTGATGTACAGGTTACGCTTTTAGCACGACTGCACACAGAAGACATGACTTCAATTCCCTTCTAAGGAAGTTATTTTATACAGTATGGATCTTCGTCTGCCTGCTGGGATGTTGCGTCAGCTCAGACTCTTACGCCCCAGGCTGGCCCTGTCAGTCAGTGTCAAAAGCACCCTAGCTGAGCCCAAAATGACCTTAACTGAGTCAATTGGGACATAAATTTTATAGTGCTATACAATCTATCCAGTCAACTTCTTCTGAAGGAAGCCCATGCTCAGCAACTATATCTAGGTGATATTGCAGTGATCATGTTATGTCTCCTCTCGAGTGGGGTAAATTGAAACACATTTCTAGAGTTAAGATGTATCATGAGTCAAGTCAAAAAAGTTTTCTGTAGAAAAATAAAACAGAAGATGGTTGGGTGGAGGCACTGGGGGGGGGGGGGGGGGGGGGGGGAGGAGTTTCTGTCTGTCAGGGCCAACCCATGCTGAAAGGGATACAACGTCCCAGCAGAAAGACAGAGTTACTCGATAAAAATGCGTCCCACTGGGAATCAAACTCGGGTCTTTTGTGAGTGACAGCAAAGCGTCTCGCTACACCATAGATGTCGGTCATGTGAGCTTACAAAATGATGATAATATATACATTTTTCCATTTTTCAAGATAGAAAAGCACACTGTGGGGGAGGGGGAATATTGATCATGTAGAAAAAGATTGCTATCAGTATCAATGTTTTGTACAGCCAATGCGCTATTATTTTTGTAAAACTATAAATTAACATTCCTTGCCTCCTTTTCTAAATATGGCAAAAGTTACTTTCAAACTGCCTATGTATGGTATGAGTACTTATGAGACGTAACAATATCTTGCCTTATTTGAGTGTATGCAGTATATGAATATAATATGTGTTTATTTTATTATTATAGTAGAGGTTTTACGGCACTCGCAACTGCATAAAGTCATATGAGCGCCAAGGGGTGGGTGTCAACAGAGAAGTTTTTACAGGGAATCAGACCCACTCTGCCCACCTCTCTAGCTTCAACAGCACAAGGTCTGCTTCAACTATCAAGGCACCCCGGAAATAGCAGGTCACAAGAGAGTGACAAACATACAAAAGAAGTAGAGGAAAATGACAATAGTAAGGATTAGGAAAGAAAAAGCAGCAGTTCCCTGTTGTAGATCAGGCAGTTATGAGCGTGACATGAATCAGCCCATTTTCTACTGCACTTGAACGAGAAATGTCCCCCCCCTTTGGGAATGGCCTAAAGACACTACAGTCAGTGGCACTACCCCGGGGGGTATAATATGTGTGAGCATATATTATTATTATGTGCAAGTCAGTCGAGTGCTTATCCTTGAAGGCCTGTGCATATTCTAAGGGTGAGCGTGAGTTTCTGTACTTGTGTGTATGTTTCTGTGTTTATGTTGAAATTGATAATTCTTGGAATGAGGACTCTGCTGTGGCTGAGGACTTACGAATGACGCACATTTACACAGTGTACTGGTAGCCCAATTCTGAATATTCTTGAACTTGAATATTGATTATTGTTGGTGATACTCATGCTCAGCTAGTCTCCTTTTTATATTTTATGTTTTTTCTGTAATTTATTGTTAACAAGACCATGTTTATGTCAGCAAGGTTTATTGAATAATACTATCAATTTTACAAAAATACAAAGGTGAGGCAGTGTGGTGAAATCAGACGCTCGTCAAAATAACATTATTTTAATTTTAAGGAAACCGACATTTTTCTGGTTGTTAGGCAAATTTTTTCGAATGTTCTTTTTTTGGCTCAGTATCTTCTATGTCTATTCGAGAACATATTTTTGTGTGGATCTTACTGAAAACGTTGATTAAATTAAAGGCACAAAACATGTAAATTTGCTGTTTCCAAGGGGATAATCATGCTTTGGAAGTCATCAAACTTTGGTGGCCATTTTCTCGCTAATTTTCCGTTTGAAACCATGCGACCCCCACCTCCATATATAAAAAATGTCTTGACGTCTATTCAAGAGAGATGAACATCTTTTTCACCAAATGCCAAGACAAATGAACAATCTTTAAGGTGATACTTAAAAATAAAACTCCGTATATTATGCCCAAAAATTGACCAGCGCCTGATTCCACTGCCTCGTGACACAAATCATATTTGCATTTATGTATAAAAAAAACTACTGATCTGGTGATCTTGAAGGCTGAGCCTTTGAATTTGATACCCACAAGCAGACGGGCAGTATCCAAGGAAAGGCGATAAAAATCCAGTTCACGCTCAGATGAACTCTAGATACATGCCCGTTGATTACAGGGACCAACTGACATAGATGAATAGAATTTTTCTAGAAAAGACATGTGTTTATAAAAACAAATTCATTGAAGTCTTTCAGTTCTAATGTATTTTCTGTAAATTTTTTATGTCCCACATATTTATCATCTCTAAATACTCCAAACCTGAAATTGCTCGTCTTTTATTTTGTCAAAACATGGAAAATAAAAGAATATCATTAAATAAAGGAAAGAATTGTTCTTTTTTTTTTTTTTTCAGAGATGTTTGTTGCTGCAAGGTCTTGTCTCGTTTCGATTTTAATCCAACACTGCTCTTTTTTTTCTTTTTTCTTAAAAGCAAATTACATGTGCTTCGTCCAGGTATTTCTCCTTCACCAATAGACCTGTGTAAGAACCTGTGTAAGATGGCCATGCATTGTTAAGGAAAAAGTGTCCGTATAAGACACGTGGCTGTCATAGGCAGCACTGATCAAAATAAAGAAAACGAACCATTTACTTTTGAGGTCCCAACTGGAGGTGGTTACTGGTTACAGGCGACTGCCCTAGGGCTGATTAAATTTTTTTGTTGTTGCAGAGGTCGAGCGGGTATAAGGCAGGAGACACAGTAGTATGGTTTAAGGTTTTTTGACACATTCTGGAATACAGCTTTTCTCATCCCCCCCCAATCTGGAGCGACGAGAGTTTCCAAAGGGCTGTCTTGAATTGCTCCACCCAACTGGATGGCATATTAACAGTGACCTTCTCACTCACCACTGCTAGATCTATGTCTCTGTCGCATTCCATGTAGCTGTGGCCTTTCACTGGAAATGAGATTGTCACTTTTCCGTACCTTTCCTGATGGACACCAACATGATAGAGAAACCAGATCACCGTCCAGTTTTTATTTAAGCCAGCGCACGAGTTACATGAGCTGGCAGAATGTGTAGAAAGTGATGTAGCAAGCATGCCGGCCAAATCGTCTCCACCCTTTTTGCTGACTGTCTCGAATGCTGAGATGTTTGGGTAGCCCAAGTTCTGCGAAAAATCAAAGGTTAGCGCAATATGGGTGCTAAAAGAATGATTTTCCCGTTTAGCAGCGCAGGCAAGACCAGTGCAGGGTTTGAGCCACAGCTCGGTCCGACGTTGTGTCCTTGGGAAAGGCGCCAATTTGGCTGTCCTTTCAGGGATGGACATTAAACTCAGAGGTTTCGCCTCTTAAATAACCTAGTAGTAGTCTTGACAAGGGCGTTAAACCTATACCAAATCAACGATTTTCACTGAAATAAAGTCACTGATTGGTCACAAGGGGCGCAACAAAGAAAAGTAAGCTTGACATCGCTGGTTTTTCCGTTGTTAACATCCTGACATCGCTGGTTCTTCCATAGTGAGCCATATTTTCTAACCCTCTCAGAGACTGACAGAGCTCGTTTTTCGGTATGAGACTAGATGGACTAAAGCAGACCCAGCCAAGCATCATGTTGGGACAATAACCCAGAAAATGAAAAAACTGACATCGCTGCCCTTCACATATATATATATATATATTTTATATATATATAAAAATATATTTCAAGGGCATAGTTCACAACATCAAAACGCCTACAAGCTGTAGCTTAGGGTGTAATCTTTGTTAAAAAGGAAGCACACTGACACATGAGGTGATAATCTCAGATAGATCTACATGTATTCACCTTCATGCCACCACAGACTCCCCTCGTATAGGACTGCAACCGAAGTGAACACTTTTATGACATAAGCACTAATAGACACATCTTTGGCATACATTTGCTCTTCGCTTAATAGAGAGGTCGTTGGTCTACACTCATTGTCATAGTCATACCGTGCCCTTCTCTTGTGCTCTCTTTGCACATCAAATTCAATAAATAAAATTTGCTGTTATGTTTAATTAGATTTACCTTTCTAGAGTTATTTTTAAAACTCTTTTTCTATGTTTGTACCCTGCAAATTTTCGTAACATCCCATGATTTAAATAGAGACAAAGTAGTAAGAAAAATCGTGGGACCTGAAAATTTGTTCATATTGAGCATCTCTCGCTATGTGCGTGATGACTATTTCAATTTAGAAATTGAACCCTGGTCATTTGATACTAGTTGTACAAACCAACATACAACAAACCCTCATGAATGAGAGGCCAGTGATGTTCAGTCACTATACGACTACAAACAAGTCACATGGCAAGGTAACTTCTACTGATTCTTAGTCCAGTACTGGTCCTCTTATATTGACAGACTTTGTGAAAATAAGCACGGGCAGTCTTATACTCGTACTTACACTAACACCAGTAAGTGTAAGATTTTAGAAGAAGAAAATATGAAAAAACAACAAACAAATATTTCAATCGTGCTATTTTATTAATGAACAAGACATGTAACAAAAGGTCAAAAATTACATCTGAACATTATCAAAGCCAGCATTTACACTTTACACATTATGTTGTGCTGTTCGCTTCTGTGTTGTCTCTAGGTAATGTTCATGGCAAAAACAAACTTACAGAAACATAGCATGCTCACCACATTCGAACTTGTAACAAGAATGCAACAAAAAACATAGCGGAGACGAAAACGTGTTAGCCACAAGGCCCAAATCAACAACAAAAGAGAAAAAAAAAGGCTGACACACAGAATGCTGGCATAGACAACCCAATGTCGGTAGACAACATTAACTCAGACGAGCGTTGGATGCACAATAAACTAACACACACAATTCAGCAGTCACGCAGTCATATTTTTACAAGTTCCCACGCATGAACTTCTTTGACAACATAGAAAAACTCCTTTAAAGTCTTTGGGAAACAAATTTTAGTAATTTTGTGATAACATATAAAAGTGTCTGAAAAAAAATTGAGAAAAATCAATTACACGACAGATAAGCAAAATCCAAGGCATGTGTTTAACAGATAACAAAGTATTTTCCATATATCAGGGCTGCCAACCCATCTCCATGGTTTTTAGTAATGACCATGAAGAAAATTAGTAATTTCCCATAAAAATTAGTAATAGTGCTCTCATTTTCAAATTACTATATTACAACGAACAAAAAATGTCATAATTACGGAAAAATAGGGCTTATCGAATGCTTCTATGTTTCTACTCGTGTACGGTATTATTGTGGGCAAGGCTAACATAACAATGACAGCACGTGCTCCATTTATATCTAATATATGTATATATGTTTGTGAATGCACACACACACACACACACATGTAGGTACACTATATCCAGTCAACAACATGTCAGTGTGGCACTGTGATCTTGTGTGACTTAGGTATTTCAGTCTGTTCTTACTTATTTATATTTTCCCCTCATCATATCAGCCTACATAAACTATAGGCCCTATTAAAAAATTAATCCTGTTGTGAGCCTGAGAAAAGACCTAAAACTAGAATATCGATTGTCAATTATAACCAGTCTGGGAGTCGTGATTCATATAATAAACGTGAAGACGAAAACTATTGCTCAAAGTAGAGTAATATTAGTGTAATAACTTGAGTGGCTCAAGTAGACCTATTCACTGTCAATGCGAGAGGTGTAAGAACTGAGGGAGGGCAAGATGCAGTGACACTGAAAATCTGCCAATCTTGAACAGAAAGCTAAAATATAGATATATAAATTACAATCACCCCATCTAATGAAACGCGAACGCATTAGTTAAATTCTAAAAACTAAAAATTTGCTTACAAACTAAGTTTTTTACCTCTAGCGTTGCCTTCAGCTCTCCCCCCCCCACCCCCCAACCATCCCGTTCCCTTAGTGTATCTATTTTTTTCCGGAGTCCTACGCTTCACAGCGCTCAGACCACCGGTACTCACACTCACAGGTTCATTGACCGGTCACGATGGCGAACGTGACAAGACGCTTGTATAACTTTCTTTTCTTTTTTCACAAGTGACAGCAGAGGACAAATTTTTAATATTGATTTATTTTCAAGGTGACACAGCGTTCGTAATGCACAACCTGCATGTTACAAATGTTGCGTTTATCCGACTATTACCGGAAAATTTCTGGGTGGTAACGAAAGCGAAAGTAGATCTCGATTCTTCCCGATCGAGCCTCAGTGTCACACATACACTTCCGCCTGCCGCCACTGTGGTTCAGTAACGTTTCCTCTTCATGATTCATAAACCATACTGTCTTGATAGCTACTCTACTAATATTACTCACGCCCTATCCTTTCCCGACCCATCACAAAATTCCCAACTTTTTCCGATTTCCCGACCTGGTGGGGGGACCCTGGCTATTGGCGGACGATTTACATGTCTGCACTAAAACATGTTAAATTTTTAAAAAGAGCCAACAATATTTTTTTTAATAGTCCAGGCCAAAAATCTGCAGACGGCAAAAATCGTAATAAATCGCCTTACAATCGGAATTTCGTAGTAAGGCTAAAAAATCGTAATGATTACGAAAAAATCGGAAAGGTTGGCAACCCTGATATGTGTGGTCTCATACACAAGCAACATATAGTCTCACACACCTGCACTCTTACCAAGACTAGCTCACCATCTTCCCACGCAAGCTTCTTCATTATCAGCAAGATTACCAATTTTATATATAATATCATTCTCCAGATGCAACATCTTCACCAAATTCCAAACAAACATCATCACACAATCATCATCAGTTATAGACTCACAAGCTACAACAATTCCTTCCGTCCCTTATCACACATATTCATACAAATGGGAAGTCAGTTTTCCATGAAGGTAACATAGTCTGTAAGAACCGACAGATGTTGCTCACTGAGAATTGCTGGAGCAGGCACTGGCTCTGTGGAGAACAAAGGATAATAATTGTCAACATTTTATATCCCCTTCGACAAATTTAAGTTAATATCATAATTAAATGGTGGGCTCTTTCGACACTGCCTATCAGGACTAGCCCTGGCTGAATGGATTAAAACATTCCAGTTGACAAATGGAGCTACTTATCAAAAATGTCAATCCAGCCATTCAAGTGTATAGACTCATTACAGTATTACAGGTGACGTTTTGGAGGACATTGAAGTGAATCAAATGCTGGTACTCATGAGCTTTGTAACCCCACTACTCCCAAGGGGAAACAGCATTTACATTACTGAGTATACCAATAGAAATTCCTCCAGCAGGAATCTTTTCGAAAGCCTCACACTAGCCACCAGCAGTACATAACTGTCCCTGGAAAGAACAAATACAGTCAAACTTCATTGTACTGCCCGTCCTGCTTGCTGCCAGGTTTTGCCATTGTACATGAATTAACGTCAATATATTAACATAGTTTGTGGTTTGCTCCTTCTTTCTTATCCAACATCTATCATCCTTGTCTCTCCTCCTTTTTAAAGTTTATTACTCACTTGTAACACCTCTAATCTTCGGCACTTATATGACCTATTGTGTTGCATGTGCTGTAAAAATCGCTCACTGCAGGGGTTGGTGTAGTGCCAGCCAGGACAGCACTCAGTATTTTAGTCGAAATAATGACAAATCATCGTGCTTCAGGCAATAAAATACTGATTTGCAATGATCTCACGGTCTCGAAAAAAAATTACGCTCCATATCTATGTTATAGTGATTGTACTCTACTAATGTGGAGATGTTTTGTGCACTTGGTACTGTTTTATTATCTGTCAAACATGGGGTTGCAGCCAGTTAGAGAATTTAGTAATATTTGATTATATAAACTCACTAAGCACCACGCCCCCATTCGCCTCAAAGCCCCAGAGGACCACCCATTTCAACCACTTTTTGAAAATTCATAAAAAATTGAAATGAAATGCTATTTTTTTTAAACTTTCTGTGCTATTTAATAAGATATGATTTCAACAGACACAATAAACACATTTTGTGAAGAATGAATGACAAAAAAATTTATGGGACAGAAAGTTGGGAAATTTCCCTCTGAAAAAAAAAAAATTTGAAAAAAAAAAGGAAGTGATGTTACAAAGCAGAAATCTACTAAACTTACACAAAATGGTTGTGGCAGTGTGTGTTTGTGTGTAGGAGAATGAAGCAAGAGTGTGTACAGTGAAGTAGCATAAAAATGCAAGTGATAATAATTAATTTTGTAGGTAGCGTAAACACGGCCTCGCGGGCACTCGCGGCCTTCCGACTGCGTGGTTCCGACCACATGGTATTGGTGAAATCGGGGTAATTCCGATCGCTGTTTCTTTGCTCTTTCGCTATCAAACAGCAAATGCCATACACCTTGTAAAAGTTCAGCTTTTCCTCGTTACAATGGTGTAAGTTGTTTATATGTCCGAGTATTAGGAGAATCACCGAGGAAAGCGAAGCCCCTCGTGGTCGGAACGCGTTGTCGGCCGGTTAAAAAATTGACACGTGTGCATTCAAATGCTTCGCGGAACGTGGGATGATTAAATACCGTCTTTTCATTGGCGAAGAACTGTAGAGCTTTGAACAGGCTTTCCCGTGGTATATTTTTGGCCTTTGATGTTTAAATAGAAAGCCTTTAAAAATACCGTCAAAATTTTAAAAGATCATTTTTTACAAAAAATATGTAAAATACTAGCTCAAAAAAGGTATCAATTAAAAGATCAGTTCATTTCCTATTAGAATAAAGTAATAAGCATGGAATTATTTTACATCAATCCTTCCGCGAGACTCGGAAAGCACGTGAGTTAAAACAGCTGCCATTTTCTTAAAAATTGACTGAGAGGTAAAAGAATAGCACCAAAATTCTCAGGAGACACATGCCTTTCATATGGAACAGATAAATATAGAATACAGCTACTTTGAAAATTTAGTTTCTTGTACTAACTAGTATTGTATTCTTACAAAACTGCAGTCTTTATTAATATTTTCATTGGAGGACATACCAATCTTCTTTGGTGTGATGATGCGGCTTTGTTCATCCACTTGCCAGCCTTCTCGTTGGGCAACTGAAACCAGTTAAGAAGAACAGAATGACAGCTCATGAGAAAGTAAATGCTCTATCGCAACAATTAAGAGTAGTACCAGACTCATTTCTAAAAAACAAATACGGTCAGGCAAAACTTGCTAAAAAAACTCCCCAGCTTCCATATTCAACGACAAAACATTATACCTTTATCATTCATATCAAATCATTTTTTTAATAGAAAGAGAGAATTTCCTCTCTTGAATTTTTTTTTTTTTCATCCACAGCCAATCCCAAAGCAAAATGCAGACTTGCTTCAGCAGCAACCCGAAAACTCTTTTAAAAAAATACCTTCCAGAAACATTGCCTGTCAAGTAAAATTCAAAATAAAGATACATGCCGTAAAGAACCTATTTTACTCAGATGGAGGAACCGCGTACATTACAGGATAACTGAGTCCTAACTCAACAGCCTGCTCATAAAGTAAAATGAGATATGTATGTCATTGTCACCCTTACTCATTTCCGTTTTCTTTCACATGTTGAAATATAAATCAACACATTAAATGTTGGAAAAACAACTAAACATTTTTACGATCAGTCTTTACAGCCATCATGAACTCTAAACAGACCTAATTTTTGTTCATAATCTACTAGAAACTGAAGTCAGATACTTGTAAGTTATGTAATAGTACAGTAACCCCTGAATGAGAAATAAAGAGAGAGAAACATCCTGAGGCACCTTGTACAGCTTTCTCCCCGGAAACGCCCAAGAACTGAGCCAAATCATCGGTAGAGATGGAGGAATAGGCCAGTCTCACCAGCCGTAGAGCTCTTTCTCTCACAGATTCTATAGAAAAAAAGTTGAAAAATGGAAATTATTCTGAATTCGCTATTGAACTTTGTGCAAGTCTTTGTTTGCTCTGAATTCCGGGTTCTAAAACACTACCTTACCATGAGATAAAAAGCAGGTGAGACAGTTATTCTGTAAAAGTATTAGGCATTAATGTACTAATTAAATTTAAAAAATAATAACATTTTAAAAATGTTAAAGCAACATGTGCAGATAAAAATTTTAAAAGCCCATTTTGTGCGTATCACTTCACTAATTGACTGGCACATTAGCGTTAATAATTAGTTACCATCAAGAAATGAGGTCACTAGTGCAAAACTTTTGAGTCAAAAAGCACTTACGGAGCAAAAAATCAGTACAATTACAATGAACAGTCTGAGCTGGATTTCAAGGCAATAAGGGTAGGAACAAAAATATATGTCAATAACACATATGTAAGGCATCAGTTGAAATTAAGTGTTTGTCAAAATAATGAAATAGAAGAAACCAACATTTTTCTGTCTTTGGAGAATTTTTATCGAATTTGTGGAGTCTTCTTAAAAAAACGTTAAATAAAAGACACAATAAAGATAAATTTATATTTATCAAGGACTCTCAAGCTATGGAAGTCACCAAGCTTTGGCAGCCATTTTCTCACAAATTTTACTTCTGAAAAAAGCGAATCCCACCTCCTTTAATCATAAATATTTCAGCTTCTATTCAAGACAGATGGATATTTTTTTCAGCAAAAGCAAGACAAAGGAACAAACTTTAAGATGATACCAATAATTCCACATGCCCAAAAACTGACGAGTGCCTTATTCTACCATGTCATGGCACATATCTAAAATAAAGATTTTAGTCATTGAATAGCCAACAGTAAAGCCTTTAACTGAGTAGTTCAGTGAAAGTGTGGCTGAGCACGAATAAAGAGCTTCACAAATACAGATGGGTCCTGTCAGACAGGGTCGAAGCAACCTACCTCCTAAATAATTTAACTAGCGTCAATGGGGACATAAAACTTATACATTTACAATTCTACACTGTGGAACTATAATGAGTAGAATTGAATCAAGAGCACTAAAGGTTACAATTTGCACAAAAATGTAAGGTTTTTTGAAGAAGCACACCTTCAATAAAATCACCTAGTCAGACATTTAATTTTAGAGCACATACAGGGTCCAAGATGGCTCATACAGCGGAAACCTGATATAACAGGGATGGTGGGACCAGAGAAAAACGCCTGTTATATCAGATCCCTGTTAAATCAGAAATGCAAGGGAAGTAAGCATTTGGGGACTAATCCAGCTGTATTTATTCATAGGTAGTTTCCCGTGCCACAAGTACCCACGAATAGGTACGCATGCATGTAGCTTGGCTTAGGGCTAGATAGAAGTCTGCAGCACACCGCAACCCTTTCTCGCTTCACCCACAGCATGTGCTTGCAGTGGCGTGGCTTGCGAGGGCTTGCTCCATCACTGCGCTTCTCTTCCTCTCACTTTTTACATATTGTTAACAAGCCTTTGTCCCTGCTATAACCGAATAGGCTCTGATGAGGCCCAGTTATTGCCGATAACCTTTAATAGAGACAAAGAGTGGAAAAAAACAGGGATTTAAAACATCCTTGTTATTACCGGATCTCTGTTATTACCGGGCCTGTTATATATGGTCTCCACTGTAGCTCAGTGTAAATAAATTTTGCTGACTTTTAATGAATAAAGAAAATGAAATGAAGGATTCTACTCCTTTCTGTGAATGCAAAGTTTCACTGGGTGCAAGGTTTACTACTGTAAACAAGTAGTTCCAGTAGTCAGGCCCTGTCCAAGTGCCTTGCAATGCTATCTCATTCGAGTTTCACTGTTTGGTTGAAGCAGGGTGCACCTTTGAAGAACTTGCCAGCCATTGTGGTCAGAGTAGTCTCACTGTGTCAACCGAATCTAATATAAATCATTGTTACCAAAAACATAACACAATGAATACGTTGTATAACTATGTGGCTATCTTTCTCTTTGTAGCCCTGAATGTCTCTCAGTGTACCAGTGCCATCATCTACTGGCCTAGCCCCCCACCCCGATTACTAACAAGCCTTTGTCAGCATCTCACCTTGCACGGCGCCCATGATCATTTTGACCTCTTCAGACCACTCCTTCTGAAGAGCTTCATAAATGCCAGCATAGTCACGCAGCCACATCTTTTGCCCCACAACCCAGATGTTTGTGAGCTCTGGAGAGGTCTAAGGACAAAAATAAAATAATAAATGTAGTTCTGCATATCCACACTGACATCAAAAGTACCTTATGTCAAATATTTAAAAAACCCTGAAAGTTCTTACATCATAGCAAGTACAAAACAGCTTTCAGTGGAAAACACAACAAATCAATAAGCACCAGAAAAAAATTGAAATTAAAGCAAGCACAAGTGAAAACGTAAAAGACAATCATTTGACAAATAGACTTACATTTTTTTTAAATTCAGCTACTGTAGAATCTTACAATCACAACAACATCAGTGAAACATTCCAAACAGCACAATACAAAAAGAGAAAGCTGACATAAAATTAAGAGGGCAGTTAAGGAAAGTGTGAAAAATGGAGAGTGAACACTTAAAGTTAATCGAGTTTCACCAAAATAACATACACACAGCAAAGGTTTTCTACTGAAGATACTGAGAGCACATCCAAAAACTGCTATGAGACCAGAGCCAAAGCCATTGAAATGAAAAGGAGTGGGCTACAGAAACCTGTTTCCTTGAAATTCTGTGACTGCTGCAGAGTTGGAAGAGAACATCCAGCAACTGTCCAGAAGGACATACTCCACCCTCCATTTCTCATAACATCACCTGCTTACCAATGAACAGAGCCGAGTCTTTCCAACTTAACATTACTAGACAAGCAAATATCTAAGGAAAATTAAAGGCCCTGAGGGTTGATACAGGAGACGAGTGAACAAAATGACACCTTGAAATACAAAGGATTATTTCATAGTATTAAAATCATAAGTGAAAAGCGGGGATTTCAGAAATATGCTGAAATAACAAGAGAATATGAGAGACGAGATAAATTTAGTTTTTTTAGTTTTACTAAGGTTTTACGGCACTCGAAACTGCATAAGGTTATATGAGCGCAAAGGGGTGGATGTCAAATGAGAAGTCCAAAAGGGAAATCAGGCTTACTCTGCTCATCTCTCTAGCCTCAACAGGACAAAGTTTGCTTCAACTATCAAGGCACCCTGGAAAAATGTGGCGTCGGTGGCCTAGTGGTTAGGCTCTCGGACTCGCAACCGTAAGGTCGTGGGTTCGAATCCCGTCAGGGACCCGACGTTGTGTCCTTGGGAAAGGCACTTTGCACAAATTTTCCTCACTTCACCCAGGTGGAAATGGGTACCCAGCTATAGACAGTGAAAGATCTTGTCAGTTTGATAGTGTTTGAGCGCGTGAAATCCGCAGCTTGCACTGTATGCTTCCGCAGAAGCTGAGAATGTTTCTGAGTGTTCTCAGAGGGTCTGCTGGGGTAATAATAGTTGTAAAGCGCATAGAGCAAGCTCTTGAGCATGGATATGCGCTATATAAAAGCAATTATTATTATTACAGCAATTTCATAAGAGAATGACAAACATACAAAAGAAGTAAAGGAAAAAATGATGACAGTAAGGATGAGGAAAGAAAAAGCAGCAGTTCCCCCTATGTTGTTCAGGTACAGTATGAGCATGACATTGATAAATCAGCCCATTTACAAATCTACCGTGTAAGAACATGTTAATATTCCCTCTGTGGGGATGGCCTAAAGACACTTCGGTCAGTAGCACTGCCCTGGTCGAGGGGGATGAGATAAATAAAAGCGGGAAAGTCACCAGTACTGATCAAATGTAGGGTGTCCACACAAAAAAAAATTAAACAAGAGACGATGTAACAAAATCCTATAATTTCCTACAATGTAAAACACAAAAAAGTAAGGGCAGATGCAGGCTGGAGATGTAAATGCTTACCTGTTTCACAGTTGGCGGGATTCTTTTCCACAAAAGTTTAGCGTTGCACCTATGAAGACAAGGACAAAAGTATCATACCATTACAAAGAGATACATTATCACTAAAGACGAAGATGTGTAAAAGAAGTTAGAGTATTTTTTCACCGTTTCCCAGCAGAAGATGCAATATGCCTGTTCTTTTAAATTGGAGTATTCCCTGTCTTGATGGTAGAAAGGTGTCTTTGTCAAGACTATTCTCAATTCAGCACACTGACCAAATATTCTATTTATATTTTAAACACAGAGATCTCAAATTTTTTACTGGTCACCAATCTGAGCCAGCTTGCCGCTTTTTCTCTGACTCTCCAATGCCACCAGGTCTGTAGCTCAAACACCAACAACACAAACACAACAGACTTTGCTCTTTTTCAGCCTGTCTGGGAAGACAATCAGTTTCATTCTTCATACCCAAAGACTTGCAGAAATCTTAGAAAAAAATCCACTTTCAACAGTACCTCTATTGGCCCAAAAATCAAACAGGTTTTGGCTTCGATCCTGTCAAGAAATAGCCTGGTCACCTTAATAATAATAATAATAATTGCATTTATATAGCGCATATCCATGCTCAAGAGCATGCTCTATGCGCTTTACAACTATTATTACCCCAGCAGACCCTCTGAGAACACTCAGAAACATTCTCAGCTTCTGAGGAAGCATACAGTGCAAGCTGCAGATTTCACGCGCTCAAACACTATCAAACTGACAAGATCTTTCACTGTCTATAGCCAGGTACCCATTTCCACCTGGGTGAAGTGAGGAAAATAAGTGCAAAGTGTCTTTCCCAAGGACACAACGTCAGGCTCCTGACGGGATTCGAACTCACGACCTTACGGTTGCGAGTTCGAGAGCCTACATTAACTTCATTGACTATGGACCTGTTATATGGCAATCTCACAAGTGAAAAAGTACATAAATGTACTCACTGATAGGTAGCCTTGTCAGAAATGGTAAGTTATTTACAAGCATGTGTCAGATGGTATTTTTAAAAATAAGGAATTAAAAACGTAAGTCGTCTTCTAAACAAAAAAATCAGTACCGTACATTTCTTCTCAACCCCATGGATCCAGTCATACAAGTAATGCTTCCACAAACTCAGAATAAACTACTTGGAAAACTCACATGTCATTCTGGAGCAAGTAGACCGCTAAAAGCTGACAGTACAATCGTATTGAGCCAGGAGTTGCTCCATTCTGAAATAGTAAATAGAGGAAATAAGATCCTGATTGAATAATCGAATTGCCATTAAAAACAGATGGAGTAACATTCCAGACCTCTAAAATGATTTATTGTAAATCGTTTACACCTCCATCTCCATAGGACACAGTCACAGGCAGCTTCAACCCGAATGCCACTGCCAACCAGGACTGAGCTGGATACAGCATCCAAGCAGATAGGAGATATTTGATAGATTAACTACCCTTGAAGTCAAGAGGGAATCAAACGACCTTCACCTGCATCCAACAGCAAGAAGCCAAGACATTACACCCCAGATCCCTCAAGAGTCAAATAGAAATAAAGTGTTCCTTTAAAACTACAGTTTGAGGGGGTAACCTGCAGGTTTAAAGCATAATATACGCACCTGCTGTGCGTAATGGGGAGCCCTGATCATAACTCTTCCAGGAATGTTTGCGCCAGGAAAAGACAGGTCACAAGCCAGACAAGGCAACGAGATACAGTAGGGGTAGCAATGAGCCACATAGTAGGCCTATACTATCCCCAGTGTCAAAGATTCCAGAATCAATCTGGGCGGAAGAAGGGTGCTGCACCATCACAGACGACCATAAGGCCCCAATTACGCAGGATAAGGCTAGCTGTGCAGAGGAACACTGGCAGAAATGGTTCCAAGTAAAACATAGTGACTGTTTGAAATGGAGGCTAACTGTCGTAAAGCCGTGACGGGGACACACGAAGGATTTATAGGCTAAATTTTACGACACGGGGCACGGTCTCAAGGCGGCTTGACGGGAATACACCACGCTTTTTTCTTTTCCTGAAATAGCACGCTCTGTGTTAAAATGGATGATTCAAGGGAACGTTCGTCTCTCTCATCTCCAGTTGAAGAAGACATTGACGAAGGATCATCGAAAGAGAAAGCAGCTCCTCGAACGATCCAAGTGCCATTCTTGCATAATTAAAGAGTTTTCCATCATCATTCTTTATATATTTTCAAAGAGCGTATGATACTCACCAACTTGTTACCGGTTCAAATAAACAGAACGAACTCACATCCTCCTTGTTTTCCTATCTATTTAGCTATCCCGTCATTTTTTTCTATAAGGACATATCATGTGACTGAGACCTCATGTGATTTCGTGCAAGCTGCGGGTAATCTAAGTGTCACTCACTCACTGAAGCCGAAACGAGTAACATCGGCTAACCAAGAACTAGGAGACAACCAGCAGATGGGGCCCCACCAACATCAACTAGAATCTACCATCTAGATCTACTACTCCAAGACTCTTTCAAGTAAGTCGTAACATAACACCCCCCTGCTCTTGAGGCCAAAACCGGCCAATAACAATTGCAGGGTGGTAACTACCGAAAAAGCGCCCACGTCGATCTATGTCCCCTGCATGGCTCGAGTGGAAATGAACACTGATCATTTCCTAGCAATGTCCACCGAGCGCGTTTTGTTCTGCCGATTTTTGGCCCCCGCCGCAGGGGTGTTTCGTGGGACGCATTAACACAAAGGTTGTTGTCTTCAACTCGCTCTCACGCCGCTTCTCGAGAATGGATATGTATGAAACTTGGCAGCCAATCAGAAAAGAGGTCAATCTCGTAGTATGCAGTTTGACAACTCTGTACCCATCCAAAAAGCTGTCGAAAACGTTTGCGAAAGTGGTTGATGTGGTGCGCTTTGAAGATTTTTCGGAGCTGTGATTTGTCAAACTGACTGATACATTGTACACCATTTTTCTTTATTCCCTTAAAATTTCATGCTTCTGTGTTTAGCGGTTTTGGCGTAATCTTTAAAAATGTGGGAGTAACTAAGAGAAAAGCGGCATTGCCATTTACGAGTGCTGGGTGAACGACCGGCGGCTGGAAAATTTCCACTGAGTGACGTCATCAGCCATCGGTCACCTCGGGCGCTACGAACGGGGCCCCGCTTATGTGAACCGGAAAGGGGGGGAAGGATACTTGAAAACTAAACGGGGGCCTTGATAACTTGCATTTGTGTTGCATTTTAGTCACAATACGATAGATGTAGTCATTTTTATTGCTTGATTGCATAACAGAAGAATAGAAACAGAAAAGCAAACATCTAAGAAGTGGTATGACATTGTGTTTGCGTTATGAAAGCCTACTCCCCCCTCTTGGGAAAGCACACACTTGGACTCGTCCTGTGTGCTCTGTTTGGAAAAGTGAGGCATTAAGATTGTTTTTAAATGTATGGTACTTATTTAGTCCAGTCTGGGAAGATAGTCCCGTTTATTCATTGTTATCGTTCACGCATGTGTGCATGTGTGTGAGTGTGTGTGTGTGTGTGTGTGAGAGAGAGAGAGAGAGAGAGAGAGAGAGAGAGAGAGAGGGGGGGGGGGGTAAATATCTTTTACATTTATAGTATGAGTTGTAGCCTACACATGCAAAATATTCCCAGGACTTGTAAACTATACAGTTCACGCCGGCATAAAGCACGTTTCAGACTCAAGCACGCTAAACGGCTCTTAACAAATTTTTGCTATATAAATTACACGCCTTTAAGCACGGTAACTTCGGCTTCAGGCACGCTTCATTTATAAGACAGTCAATATTTTTATGATGACCCATCGAAGTTTGAACACAGTCTACACCTCAACAGTGAGTGTGTTAAGAGAAACAAAAACAGCGCAAGTGATGTACACACACCTAGACGGTCAGAGATAGAATAAGAACGTATAGACACACACACATGCGCTGAGAGGAAGGCAGAGAGATGCACACAGCTGCACGCGTGGAAATAGGATCTCGCCTTGGGCAATGCTACACACAGACAAAAAAAAATACAAAAGGAGTCGGGGACATGAGAAAAGGAGGCAGGCTGCGATTTCACCTTATTGCCCCTCACTATCCAATAATCCTGATTTAGTATCACGCGCGAGGTGGGATCAAAGACCGTATTTGGTGGGTGAAGGCGGTGGTATGAATGTGGTACAGCGTGCAGTGGTACACACAGGCAGTGTGTAGGCCGCGTGTGCTGTATCGTGACTGGTCGTCTAAATTAAGTTTTCATTTCCCATTCGACCACAAAACAAAACAAACAAACAAACAAATCAAAACTACCATGGCGGGTAAAAATAACAGTGCACACTTTTGCAGGACCACTATAGGCCTAGATCTAACAAAGGGAAATAGGACAGGAAATTTTCTACATGAAAATCTCTGGATTATATCTACTTCGCACTCAAGCACGCTTCAGCTTTCTCCCGATGACGGTGCTTCAAGCCGGCGTGGACTATAATAATATTATTATCTAAACGCATCTTAATCTACCACACAATAGGACACTGTCCAACAATGGATATATACAGAGACGATATTATTTTCTATTACAAAGTGTGCATGCTTTTACTAGTAGAGAACTGGATTTATTAGACTGATAAATCCAGCTCTCTACTTAAATTTTTGTGACAAATTGATCCAGAGCATTGCTTGGCAAGGAAGAATCTTTTACGTTGCCAAGTTTCATAAAAATATCATGACTTTGGGAGAAGATATAATATGACTGATAATCTTTGTATATCTGTAAAGAACATCACTTTTTTTACCTGTAAATGTCTTTACAACTGAAAAAGTAGGATAGATATAAAAAATCTGACAGCATGACTAGATTCTGCATTAAAAACTGTACTAGACTGCCAAATTTCATTTACATACTCCAAGAAATAGGCGAGCTATGACAAATATTGTCTCAAAACACACCAAAAACCGCCACATTTTTACCTATAAACGTCTTCATTACTCAAAAAGTAGGATAGCTATGAGAAACCTGAAAGCAGCACTAGATTCTGCACTAGAAAATGTACTGGGCTGCCAAGTTTCATTTAAATACTTCGAGAAATGAGTGAGTTATGACGAATATTGTCTCAAAACTCACCAAAGAACGTCCCATATTTTGGGGGTTTTTTTATATAAAAGTCTATAAAAAATTAATTGATTAAAAAATTCGTAACTTTTTTGTTTATCGATGGATTTCAAAAATTCAAAAAGTTCCATGCTTTGTAAAGATACAGCTACAAAATGCACCTATTTGCAAACATTTTCTGACAAAAAAAGGTTTTTCGTGGTCATTGCTACATTTCCACTCAAGTTCAAGCCGTACCGTGCCGGGGTTACCATGTCAAATTATTCAATTACACAGCGCAAGCTGTCGAGCCGAAGGACAGAGGGACAGAATATACTAGTCATACGGTCCGAAGAGAGACGGTACGGTTAGGCATGGGTAAACATGGTTTGGCTTATCATGTGCAATTTGGGACCTGCCTATGAGTAGCAATGCCAATCGCCCGCTGCGCCTTAGACCGGAAATCGGCCTCCGCGCAAGGGGTAATTTTTGGGCCGCTCGGAATCAGAAGTGACTCTCTTCTAAGTATAGTTACGGGAAAACTCCTGGACGAAAATAAATGAAGCTCGACAACCAATCAGAGGAAAGGATAAACTAACGACATGCCAGGCCAGCGTACAATCCCGAACGATTACTAGAACCGGAGATATTGCCGTGTTTGTGTGAATTTCCTCTGCGGTTCGAAAACGAAGCGGAGCTGCGGGTTGATCGCCGACCACACAAGCGCCCCACATGTCTTCTTTATTGCTGTAAAATTTCAGATCTCTGCGTTTAGTCGATTTTACGTTCCAACTTAAAATTACCACCCATCCATTGATAAAACACTAGAGCTGGAAACTACATCACGCTTTCCAAACGCGAGGTGCCGGCATGCAAGAGGCGCGTGATCGTTAGGCGGCATGTGATTGGCTGCCTATAGGCCAAATAGGTCACCGATGACTACATCGCGGGTTTTCCCGATAGCGCTTTACTGAGTTTTAGAAGGGGTGATCGCGTCGCGGTAAAAACGATGTCACGCAATTCAACAAATTTCTTGCAAATATCAGTCTTTAAGATCCAAATAATAAAGAAATCGAAAAAGTGATAGCAGAACTAGATTCTGCACTAAAAATCACATGAAGATGCCAAGTTTCATTCATATGCTCCAAT